ACAGAGGTGTCCACTCATCAGTCAGAAGCCAGACTGAGAAAGGCGCCCAAAGCAGCTCCAATCCCAATAGCTAGATCAACTGAACAGCCATGGTAATATTAACTCAGCAACTTTTACCAACTGTACTGTTCTCCTTCCAGGAACAAGAGAGTTGTGTAAGCCCTAAAGGTGGGGGAGGATATTTATTGCTACACTGATGTATTTGTAAAAGACCAGAATCAACCTAGTGTCCATCAGCAGAGCAGAAGTATGGCTCACCTATACCACAGAGAAGTATGCAGCCATAAAAGTGTTTGCTGAGAGGAACTGGTGAGTATCATACACAATCACTTTGTTTAAATGAGAAGAAATATGTGTCTGTATATCTCCTTGATATACAGGGGGCTTACTTTTCTCTGTGTATTTCATGTACAAATATGTATAATTCTGATGTCATTAGTTTCTTTTATCTCTTGACAGAAATGACCACTTTGGCTTTTTTTTTAAGATTTTATTTATTTATTTGAGAGAGAGTGAGAGAGTTCACAGAGGGGTAGGGAGAAGGAGAAGCAACCTCCCTGCTAAGGCTCGATCCCAGGACCCTGGGATTATGACCTGATTCGAAGGCAGACACTTAACCAACTGAGCCACCCAGCTGTCCCAGAAATGAGCACTTCGGATTAAGACTTTGCTCACTGGGGGCGCCTGGGGTGGCTCAGTCGTTAAGCATCTGCCTTCGGCTCAGGTCATGATCCCAGGGTCCTGGGATTGAGCCCCGCATCGGGCTCCCTGCTCCGCGGGAAGCCTGCTTCTCCCTCTCCCACTCCCCCTGCTTGTGCTCCCTCTCTGGCTGTGTCTCTGTCAAATAAATAAATAAGTAAATAAAGACTTTATTAATCAAATAAAAGCCATACCATATTTTCTGTTTATATTTCTCTGTTATGTTTTTTGCAAGTCTAGTACAATATCATGAAGCAGAGGCGGGTATGGATACCCATCTAATTCAGATCTCACTGGGTTTACGTATAGTCACTGAGTGCGTGTTCTGTGCAATTTTATCATATGTGTATATTCATGACACACAGCAGAGCAAGATACAGAACACGGCCATGACCACAAGGGTCCCTCATGTTGCCTTTTTATATCCTCACACACCCTCTGCAACCCCAACCCTGGCAACCACTAATGTGTTCTCCATTTCCTTAGTTTTGTCATTTCAAGAGTGTCCCATAAATGGAATCATACATTGCATAACCTTTTGGGATTGGCTTTTTTCACTCAGTGTAATTCTCTGGATATTCACCCAGATTGTTGTGTGTTCCGAAGCTCATTCCTTTCATTGCTGAGTAGTATTTCATGGTACAGATGCACCACGATGTTTTTTTTTTTTTTAACCATTAACCTGATGAAAGATATTTTGGGTTGTTTCTGGTTTGGGATTTTTACAAATAAAGCTGCTGTGAACATCTGTGTACACATTATTTTTTTTTAAGATTTTATTTATTTATTTGACAGAGAGAGACACAGCAAGAGAGGAAACACAAGCAGGGGGAGTGGGAGAGGGAGAAGCAGGCTTCCCGCTGAGCAGGGAGCCCGATGCGGGGCTCGATCCCAGGACCCCGGGATCATGACCTGAGCCGAAGGCAGCCGCTCAACGACTGAGCCACCCAGGCGCCCCTGTGTACACATTTTTTATGTGAACACAAATTCTCATTTCTTTAAGATAAATGTCCCGGAATGGAATTATTGAGTCCTGTGGCAACAGCATGTTCAGTTTTATAGGAAAAGGACAAATAGCTTTCTTGAAGGCAGTATGAGTGATTGCTTCTCTGCATCTTTGCCAGCATTTGTTGTCACCACTGGTTTTTCCCCCCCTATTTTAGCCATTCTGATAGGTGTGTAGTTTATGTTCTTTTATTTTGTATATATTTTTTAGATTAAGAAAAATTTTAAGTAATCTCTACACCCAACATGGGGCTCGAACTCACAACTGCGAGATCAAGAGTGGCGTACTCTACCAACTGAGCCAACCAGGCAGGCACCCCTGTAGTTGTATATTCTTTTAAACTGAAATTCTAAACCTGTGCATATTACCTAAAAACCATAACAGCATTTTATTTATTTATTTATTTATTTATTTATTTATTAAAAAGATTATTTATTTATTTATTTGACAGAGAGAGACACAGTGAGAGAGGGAACACAAGCAGGGGTAATGGGAGAGGGAGAAGCAGGCTTCCTGCGGAGTGGGGACCCTGACGCGGGGCTTGATCCCGGGACCCTGGGACCATGACCTGAGCCGAAGGCAGACACTTAACGACTGAGCCACCCAGAGGCCCTAAATTTACTTTTTAAAAATGCTGTTATGGTGGGGCGCCTGGGTGGCTCAGTCATTAAGCTGCTTTCGGCTCAGGTCATGATCCCAGGGTCCTGGGATCGAGCCCCACATCGGGCTCCCTGTTCGGTGGGAGGCCTGCTTCTCCCTCTACCACTCTCCCTGCTTGTGTTCCCTCTCTTGCTGTGTCTCTCTCTGTCAAATAAGTAAATAAAATCTTAAAAAAAAAAGAGGTAGGTCAAAGTATGAGGTCAGAATTCATGTCCACTAGTCATGCATCTATCCCAGTAGGGACAGCCACCTAGAAGTCAAGTGACACTCAGATGGCAGCCTGACACATCAGAGCAGAGACAGGAAAATGATTTTTTTTTAATGAAGATAATGCCATTCCAACATGGAAACATGAAAATTTTTATTAAAAGAATTTCAACATAGACGTAGCAGTCTAGCCCATAATGAGCAGTGTGTGCACGCACTCCACTCTAGCTGCCACCAACAACCACTTCTACCATCAACCTCAGTGCCCCTTCTTCTGGAATAAAATAAACTCAAAGCATCCTGTGCTCCACCTGTAAATACTTTGGGATGTATTTATATCCCAAAGGGCATTTTCTTATGTATTAACCACATCTAAAATTAACAATAATTCCTTTTAAAGAGTGTTCAGGGAAAAGTAATTCTCCAACTCCCACCACCATTCACACCACAGTGATTGCACTTCTCTTCCAGGTCTGCGGGCCGTGTGCAAGGTCCTTGCAAGGCCCAGTTCCAGAGTTGAGTGCACAGGGACACTCTCTTCTGTTTCTTCCCCCACTTAACACCGTGTGACGTTCAGTTCCGCTTAGCCTCATCCTCTTAACCAGGAGAGTTTTATAATTTTCATATGCCTTTAGGAATACCTTCTTTACAAACCATTTATTTCTTTTGAGTATTAATGCAAAAATCCTCAACAAAATACTAACCAACCAAATTCTGCTGCATGTTAAAAGGATTATACACCAGGACCAGATAGGATTGATTCCCACAATGCAAGGATGGTTCAACATATGAAAATCAACCAATATAAGGGTGGCTCAGTTGGTTAAGTGTCTGCTTTTGGCTCAGGTCATAATGGGATCGAGCCCCACATCAGGCTTCCTGCTCAGCGGGGAGTCTGCTTGTCCCTCTCCGTCTGCCCCTCCATCTGCTCATGCTCTCTCTCAAATAAACAAATAAAATCTTAAAAAAAAAAAAGACGGATGGAACCAGAGGGTATTACGCCACATGAAATGAGTCAATCAGAGAAAGACAATTATCATATGATCTCAGTGATATGAGGAATTTGAGAAACAAGACAGGATCATAGGGGACGGGAGGGAAAAATGAAACAAGATGAAACCAGAGAGGGAGACAAACAATAAGAGACTCTTCATCTCAGGAACAAACTGAGGGTTGCTGGAGTGGAGGGGGGTGGGAGGGATGGGGTGGCTGGGTGATGGACACTGGGGAGGGTATGTGCTACGGTGAGCGCTGTGAGCTGTGTGAGTCTGATGAATCACAGACCTGTACCCCTGAAACAAATAATGCATCATACATTAATAAGAAAGAAAATCAACTAATGTAGTGTCTCTACATTAAAGAATAAAGGGGAAAAAACCCACATAATCATCTCACCGACGCAGAAAACCGTGTGATAAAGTCCAATACTCCTTTATGATAAAAACGCTCAACAGACTAAGAATAGAAGGGAACTTCCTCCATATGATAAAGGCCATATATGAAAAACCCAGTGAACATCGCACTCAGTGGTGAAAGACTGAACGCTTTCTTCCGAAGACTGGGGAGACGACGAGGCTGCCCGCTACCCCCACTTCTGTTCAACATAGCACTGGAAGTCCTAGGCGCAGCAATCAGACAAGAAGAAGGAATGAAAGGCGTCCAAACTGGACAGGGACAAGTTAAAACTTCAGATGACATGCTATCCCATGGAGCAAGCCCTGGGTTCCACACCAAAACCCAAAGAAGCAAATAGGGCTAATAAGCAAGTTAAGCGACATTGTAGGATAACAAAGCAACACACGGAAACTCCAGAGCATTTCTACGCACTGACAGCGGACAAGGTGGTAAGGAAATTAAGAAAACAATGCCATTTACAATAGCATAAAAAAACCACTTAAGGATTAAACCAAGGAGGTAAAGGCTCGTAGGCTGAAAATTAAAAAACACTGCTGAAAGGAATGGAAGAAGCCACAAATGCGGGGACACAGGTTCTGAGTCGCCCGGCCAGCAGGACGGCGGAAGGCCGATCGTGCAGCAGGCACCCTGCAGGGGCGAGGGCGGACTACAGCCCCCACAATACCTCCGGCTGCCGCGACGGAAGCGACGGCGTTGGAGGCCGGCGGCCTAGGCCAGGGCCAATCACCGCCCGGAGGCGGCGCGCGGCACGACGGGTCTTGTAGTGGGCGCGGGGGCGGGACGAAGGCTTTCACAATACCCGCGGAGGCGGCGACGGAGGCAACGCCTTTAGAAGGGGCCCGCCTCGGCGGAGGCCGCAGGCCAATCACGGCCGAGCTGACGGCGCGGGGCACGATGGGCCGTGTAGTCGGCGCGGGCGGGACTACGGCCCCCACAGTGCCTCGCGCGGCACGGAGCGCACTGCGGCTGCGCGGCGGCGACCCGGGCGCCGTCGGGCTGGGCGGCGGCGGTGGCGGTGGCGGCGGCGACGGCGGCCACGGCGGAGCCCGGGAGCCCGGCCTGAGCCTCGCTGGGAGCCGCGCGAGCCGGCTGCGGGCCACCATGTCGGCGCCGTCGGAGGAGGAGGAGTACGCGCGGCTGGTGATGGAGGCTCAGCCCGAGTGGCTGCGCGCCGAGGTGAAGCGGCTGTCGCACGAGCTGGCCGAGACCACGCGCGAGAAGATCCAGGCGGCCGAGTACGGGCTGGCGGTGCTCGAGGAGAAGCACCAGCTCAAGCTGCAGTTCGAGGAGCTCGAGGTGGACTACGAGGCCATCCGCGGCGAGATGGAACAGCTCAAGGAGGTGAGCGGCAGGGGCGGCGCCGCCGAGCCCCGACCCCGGCAGCCAGGCCGGGCGGACCCCCGAGCGGAGCCCTGAGCCCGGGCTGGGCACATCCCCGGCCCGCCCTGCAGCCGGGCCGGGCCGGGCCAGCACTGCGGCGCCCGGGGTCAGGGTGTCGCAGCGGCCCGCAGGTGTGGCGGACGGCGCGCGTGCGAGAGGTCGGGCCTCCGCGGGCAGGGGCCGCGGGTGGGGCCGTGTCGCCAGCCTGTCTGCTTCTGGCTGCAGGCCTCGGGCCCAGTGCGACGGTGTCCTCTGCGGCGTTGGGCGTCCCGGGTTGGGGGATGGGGGCGTGGGAGGGACGCAGGTAGCTGGCTGGGGGAAGCCCGACCTGGGCCCCCGTCATCTACAGGCAGGTGAGTTCTCCTCTTTTCCGCGAGCGCCTTGAGGCTGGGAGGGGGCCGCGACAGGGGCTGGCCTTGAATGTGGTCAGCCACGAGAGCTGCCGTGCCCCTCGTCTCCCCTAGGCTCAGCTCCGCGACTGCCCCCCTGATTACTTCTCTGGGATGCAGTGCTTCTCCGCCTACTTCCTGTCTTGGCTGCCGTCCCAGGGTCGGGTGGCAGGTCCGTGGGTGTTTGTCACCGAAGGAGCCTTGGGTCTCCTCTGTGATTTTGGCCCCGGGATGAGGTGGGACCCCCCAGGCTGCCTTCGAGCCTCTCCGGAGAGCTGGGCAGGCCTTCCATGAAGCAGTTCTGGGTGACTTAAAGGGCAGCTTCTCTCCAGGTCTCCCTGACTCCTCAGCCCTGTTGTGGGGGGTGGGCAGGAAGAAGCTGCTTTCTGCGTGGAACGTCCAGCTTTGGATCCAGGCCTAGCTCCTTACCGGTGTTGTGACCGTGGGCTGGAGCCCTAGCTTTTCCTTCTGCAGCATTGCCCACCCAGAAAAGATTGGTCTGAGAATTGTATTTTTGAAAAGGCCTGGCACGGTCAGGTGTGTGGCCTGTTGGTTTCTCTGACAGCGTGCCCGTTCCCCGCCAGACACTTCCCTTATCCAGGTGGGCTCTTGGCCCTTGGTCTTGGGATCCACCATGCTCGCTGCCTCCCTGACTGCTCACCTCCTGGCTTGTCTGCTCCCAGTGGCCTCAGGCAGGTGCCTGTACTGTTCAGAGCCTCCCTGCCTCACTGGGGACACCAGTAAGGTCCCCTTCTGATAGTGACGAGGAGAGAATGTATTAGCCCACACGGGTGCTTAGGTCTGTGCTAGGCAGACCAGGCGTATGGTCAGAATCAGTAAACCAACCGACGTTGGGCGTGGGGGGCAGGTGACAACACATGAGACCCGTGGTCCTGTCGTCTGCTGGCGGGCCCCTTCCAGGTGCGTGGGGTGAGGGGATGCACCTGCAGTGGAGGGAGGCAGAGGGCTGTGAGAATACGGAGCAGGAGTGCCTTTGGCCCCCTTCTGGTCTCTGGTCCTCCCCCCTGCCCTAACTTGCTGAGCACCTCCACACCCCCTGACCCAGCAGCAAGCACAGTCCCTTTCTGTGTTGACAAGCTGACATTCATGTCCACGCTAAGAACAGACCAGAACAGACTGCAGCAGAAAGAACCAGTCCCCACTTAGGGGCCTTTCAGTTATCAGCTCTTTACTGTCACAGACACAGATGTTTTGACCATCGTTTTGTGGGGTGTGTCTGGAGGGTGGCTCCCAGAGGGAATCAGGAGGATGGTGTGTCAGTCCCTACACGTGTTCTTCAAGTGCCTGCTTGCTTAGTTTGATGTCACCTACTAGCTCCTGCAGGAACTGGCCCCTTGGTCTTGGACACACAGCTCCACTCTCCTGATCTCTAGCTCCCCGCACTGTGGGTGCGGCGAGCACAGTTGAGCAGAAGCCAGAGGAAGGAGCATCGGAGTCGCAGACACGCTGCGGGAAGGTAGCACCAGGCCACGCACACCCAGGCCGGCACAGCCTCTCCTCAACGTCATTCGTTGTAGTCAGGGTTTTACTTGGATATGTTAACTCTTTTATTTTATTTTTATTTATTTTTTTATCTTTTTAAGATTTTATTTATTTAACAAAGAGAACACAAGTAGGAAGAGCAGCAGGCAGGGAGAAGCAGGCTCCCCGCTGAGGAAGGAGCCTGATGCCGGGCTCCATCTCAGGACCCTGGGGTCATGACCTGAGCCAAAGGCAGACGCTTAATTGACTGAGCCACCCAGGCACCCCTGTTAACTCTTATTTTAAAAATCAAGATTTAATGAGACATATTTTGTTGGGTCTTTTTTTTCTCTTGTAGAGAGGTGAGCCATTTTTGTTCTTTTAACACTTCATTTCTCAAACTAGAGTTGGTTCAGTTGCTGACAAATTGTATTTCAGACAGAGGTGTTTGCGCTCCCATGCCCGGCCTTTGTAGATGGTCCTGTTTGTGAGGGAGGGAAGCTGGCTGGCTGGTCACAGGTGAGTGGCTTTGTGCCCAGGCCCAGGACGAGTGGGCCCCTGTGGTGGCCTTGCAGCCTTTGTGACTTGGTGCTTGTGTGTCTTGACACCATGGTGTGTGTGTGTGTGCATGTGCGTGCGTGTATGGGGCGGTACCCGCTGGCCCTTTTTGCCTAAGCGTTTTTGCTAGTGATTGAACCTGGCTTAAGAAGGGCCCAGTGCATCCCAAGCCCCACTGTGCCCCCTCCCCGCTCCGTGGGGAAGAGAATCGGACGGCCTCCGGTCAGCCAGCCGTGTGGTGTTTGCTGTCCTGAGTGGCCATGCCCTCGTCCCGCTCCGTACCCTCTGCTGCAGCTTCAAGGGGGGCAGGTGTGCCGGGGTGGTAGCTCCTGCCTGCTGGGCCCAGGCGGGTGCCCTGAGTGGCTGGTCCTCGCCTCAGGGATGTGGGGGCTGGAGGGCGTGCCTCAGGCCAGGCAGGGGTCCGAGTGTAGGGTCAGCGCCCTCCCTGCCTTGGGTACCACCTCGGGATCTTGTTTGCGCAGTCTACTTAGGGCCCGGGAAGCAGTGGGTGGAATTTGGTGAGCTGTGGTGTGTCATGGGCTGGGCACGGTGCCCGGCACACAGTAAGTGCTTACTTAGTGTGTGCCAGCGCGTGTCGTCAGCTCCTTCCCTCCCCCTCACTCTGGCCTGGCTCCCCTCCCTGCCATCCCCATAGGAGATTGGGCAGCAGAGCCTGCTGCCTGGGGCCCCGGGCCTGGCTCACCCCGCGCTGTGGCCCTGTGTGCGTCTGCCTTCGCTGCTCTCGCCCGTCCCGCCTCTCCCAGCTCCTGGAAGGCCCGCCCGCCAGCCCGCCTGCCCTTCGAGGCCTGGGTGCCTCTCGCAGCCACCTCTGCCTCCCCTCCGGACTTGCCTGAGCCCAGCTCTCAGCGCTGAAGTCCGTCCGGTCCTGCTCAGCCTGAAGGGCCAGGGCAGAGCTGGTGGGGGCTGCTCTGTCTCCGACACTCACTCCTTCCTTCCCTCCCTCCCTCTCCTACCCTCCTCTCCCAGTGGATGGGGAAACTGAGGTATGGATGGGTGGGGGTGACCGTTTAGAACGAGGTCCTCAGGCACCGGGTCCCCTCAAGGTCTTTGCATAGAAGTTACAGCTGTGAGTCAGTTTAGTCCCACAGAGGAGGGTGCTGTGAAGGCCTCCCCATTCCCCACTGGCTCCTGCAGCCCCCACACCTACCCTTGGGGTCACCACCTTGTTATGTCCATCCCACAGCTGGGGAAACCAAGGCACAGAGAAGCCGAGTTTTGCTCAAGGCTGTGAGCCTGTCCCTGTTCCTGCCGAGGAGGGAGGGGTGGTTGGAGGCCTCCTCGAGTGTTTTCTTGGGGGTGGGAAGAGCCCCGACTTGGCTAAAGCCTGTGGGGATTCTCCTGGAGGATGGAGCAGGGTCCTTGGGGCTGGAGTCCCCTGGGGGACCCGCGCCTTCCGGGCTGGCTGTGCAGCCGTCTGCGGTGGGCGGGAAGGGGCCTGACTTGGGGTGGAAGGTGGGGTCTGGCGGGCCCTGGAGGCGCAGGGGTGGCCGTGCCTGCGGGTGACAGTCGAGGGAAGCAGCTGCTGGTGAGCAAGGATGGTGACCAGCTGGCTCCCCATGGCTGCACTGCTGGACGCTCCCCACTTTGCTGCCTCGGAACACGTGTTGGGCAGGGGTCACAAAGCAAACATGAGGGCTCTTCCTCCGTTAGAAATACCAGTTTCCTGCGTTGCCTCCATGTCCCCTCCTGTCCTGTCTGTGGTGACTGGCTGTCACGAGATGCTTCCCGAGATGAGCGGCGGGCGGGAGCCTGAGAGGTACAGCCCTGGCAGGGAAGGAGGTGCTGCACGAGCCGTCCGGGGCCACAGTCTCCACGGTGGCTCCGACGGAGAGAGTGGACCCTGCCTAGCCCTCAGGAGCCGTGTGGCCCTGGACCAGCGGCCTGCCCATCAGGGTCAGGGCGGGTGACTGTGGCTCTGGGCACTGGGGGCCAGTGACCCTGGAGTACACGGGCAGGCGGTGGTCAGAGAGAGCTGTGGCCAGGGCCGCACGGAGTCCTGCTGGGCTTCCCTGTCACCTCAGGGACCCGAGCCCTTTCCCGGGAGGGAGGAGATCAGTTTCCCCTTGTCAGTGAGGGGCAGTCGCCCACAGTGACACTTCTCCACGGTGGTGCACTGGGTGATGTGCCGCTGCAAACATTGGGGGTAGAGAAAGATTGACTTCTACTGAGACAGTGAGGTGAAGCTGGCCAGTGGGCAGGGGCTGGCCAGGACCCCCAGGCTCTGATGGGCAAGGCCCTCCGGGGCCCCGGAGCCCTCCTCCACAGGGTCTGCCCGTGGGAGGAGGACCCAGAGCTGGGGTTGCAGGGTCACAGGGACGCAGGGCCGTCCGGGCTCAGGCAGGTGATAGTATCGAGGAGGTCTGGGGCCCGGCTTCTTTTTTAGAGCTTAATACATTTCAAGAATTGTACATCTGCTTTGGGAGCATCGGAAGTTAGCTGTGCGCGGTATGTGTGCGGGAACTGGGAAGGTGATCGATGGCAGGTACAGGGAGCAGCGGGCTGTTTCTTCTC